TTTTTACTTAAAACATTAATGTTTTTTAACATTTCTGATAAAATGTCAAATATTAACATTTCTGGTAAAAAAAAATAATGTTTTAGATAGCACTTTACCGGATATATTAACAAATCCGGTAAAACACCCAATAATAACATTTCCGATAGAAATAATAATGTTTTAGGTAAATTTTTACCGAAAATGTTAAAAAAATAATAACATTTTTGATAACGCCTTTCCTTAACCGTATATTTAACTGCCGCACGACAAACCCTAAAGACACCAAATATGAAGGCATAATTAATTCCACGTATATCCAAGAAAGAAGGCCTTTGGTTCATGTCAGCAGCCCAACACTTCTCTGTTAATCTAAGAATAATTCAATAAAGAGAACAACCAGAAAAGTTATTACTAAATATCTTTGAAATGAAAGGCAAAAGGTCAAGCTATATGTCCGACATGGATATGATCATTTTCTTTCGTATTCAAAGATTTTATCCTCGTATCCATGTCTGAAAAAATGCAGAGTTTGAGCAACATAGGGCAGTATTAACTTGACTCGAGATGCTAATAAGTAATAAATAAATAGCAGACACATGGAAATCTTGACGCAGACATATAATTGTGTGGACGGCTTACTCTCTCAGTTCAGGGAGGTATGATTTTGATCAAAAGATAGGTCGGTGTCCATCAGCGACATGCTTAGCTGCTTCATAAGGTTCATAATTTGACAATGGTGGTTCTCCTTCAAGCATCTGCTCCAAGTAAGAATAATGTGCATTAGAACTAGTGTAAAAAATACTACATGATCAACTTCATTTCAAGAGAGGAGGAAGATTACCTGATAATGTATCATTGCGAAAGAGAAAACATCAACCTTTTTATCATATTTCCGGTGCTTGAAAACTTCAGGAGCCATATAACGATCTATTCCGAATCAAAGTGAAGAAAGTATCCGAGGATCATATTTTATCCAAAAATATATATAAGATACAACTCCCGGTCTCGCCAGTCATTTTGTACACATCATGAGAATTTTGAACTTTGACGAGCTTGCTCAGTCCGAAGTCTCCAACTTTCAAATGGTCTGCACTGGAGTTGACCAAAAGCACGTTACTGACAAAAAGGAATTAAGTTTCAAATGAAAAGGTCAATGCAATTCAAAGTTTTTATTCATGGAAGCAAAAAAGAAACAAATCAACTAGAGAAATGGAGAAATTATTTTGTATTTTCAGAGAAAAGCAAAAGTGCATTAATCATTCAAATTTCAAGAGGTAATTTTTACACCTTAGACGTGCAGTCACTGTAAATGCATAAAGCCTTGAACCAATAGCTAGTAGAACAAGAACAGGATTGTTTGCACAAGAAAACTGAAATAGCAACCGACTCACCTGGGTTTTAGGTCTCGATGAACAATGACATTTGGCTCAGTGTGAAGATAAGCCATACCCCTGGCAATAAAATTTATAAAATCCTGATTAGCGAAATGGTATACATATGAGAGAAAATTCAGTTTAGTCACGTAGCTAATACATTCTGTAGAGTAGCTCGGAGGAGTTGTTCAAAACCAAAAAAAAAAAAAACTACAGATTTTATCCCAGAGATGGTATCATACTTCTATGGAGCATGTCCTGATCAAATGATTACGAGAGCTGCTTCTCAATATGCTAGTCATAAGAGAATCTTTATTATATTTTTTAGGAAAACACCACACATCTACACCCCTAACAAGCACTCTCTGGTTTGACTAGCAATCACATGCACTCATGACAAATGATAGAAGACACTAGTTATGAAACAACTAAAAGGTTGAAGAAAAAAGTTTTAATCCATGGTCAAGCACATTGGAAGATGGTTATGAAACCTAAAAATTGGATAAAAAAATATTTTAGGCCTCTCCTTTTCCATCCTCCGTACCAAGCAAAGCCTAAAATCAAGATACATCATGCTAAAAATGAAGCAAGAATTTTTCTCATTATGGTTTTGCACTTAAAACAGTCTGTAGGCAAGCTCTGCTCTGCAAGTTAGTAACATTAAGAAATTGAAAGCATACCTTCCCTATGATATTTGAATTTGAAAAGTCAAGGTCAGAAAGGTCAATTTCCCAGTCACACTTGTTTGGTAGAGGGAGTGAAACCGGCTTTGGTTCAAAATGGCTTCCATTTTGGCCCTGCAACAATGAAAACTTTAACTTTCAGCCCATAAAAGCAGTTAAAATGAAAACTAACAAGGTCCAAAAGTGTTTCCATCAATTAAACCTGTTTAACTAGCTCAAGTAAAATCAGATCAGATGGGATAATGAAGAAGAATTGAGCGCCAAAACCAGTTTGCGTTTACATTTTAAGAAAATTGTTCATGAATTAGTGTAAAGTGCAAACATCATTGAGTATGGATGTGGAAACACATATACAAGCATATATGATAAACAACTTCCGCAAACATAAAGTGACTGACACTAAGGATTTATTTTAAGCCTTTCAAACAAATAATGCTTAAAGATGGATTACTAGAAAAATTGGGAACGTTTTTGGAAAGTTAAAAGATCATCCACAATTTCAAGTAAGCCCCCATATCTAAAACTCTGATTCCTTCCTTAGACAAACAACCAAGTTTGAAAAGTAATCCATAATTATTATGATCAAATATGATTCAAAGTGCCAAGTGGCATTGCTGGAACTAATCAGTCATCATGCAAATTACAGAACATTCATTTTATGAACTCTAAAATTAGACCAAGTATTGAAGGAAAATAGCTAAAAAATCTCAATAAATGAAAATTTGTAAAGTATAAAATGCTGAACTTACGTAAGATAATCCACCATTCGATTTCAATAGCTCGACCATCTCACGTTTCTCAGCTCCTTCTGCATCAGCTAAAGGCTAAATTTACCGGAAAGGGAAAAAAAGAAACAAAGCTTCAAGTTAAATGAAAAAAAAAGCTGCGGAAACAGTAAAAGCCAAAGAATAAGAGAAAAAAGAAACAAAAAGGAAAAGTTGAATTGGCACCGTATTCTTCCATCGATCTTGGCCGTTGACATCGGCGCCATAATCGATGAGGCACTTGGCGAATTCAATCCAACCGAGGAGTGAAGCGACGTGGAGAGGCGTACGGTTATCATAGTCCCTAGCGTGAACCAAAGATCGATCTTCCTCGAGAAGCTTACGGACGGGCCGGCATCGTTCTGATGAGTGTGCCATAGGATCTGCGAAGTCCTACTCACCCTCGCCTTCTCCTTTTGCTTGTCCGCCGACGATGCCGAGCTAGCTTTCCCACTCGATCCCTGCGCCGTCGACTTCCCGCCGTTTGCGTCTGAGTTCATAGTCAAAGATCCGTTCTCTTGCTGATGTACTGCGAAGTATATTTATTTGTTATTAATTTTTGAGTTATCACAAATCAAAGGCAAAACTTTTGAGATAATGTGTTTTTAGAAATTAATTTATGAGATAATGTATTCCTTATATTAATTATTTAAATAGAGTGAAATTTACAGTATTGGTAGGTCATGTCTTCCGGTCAATTTACTATGTAGTCAGTTTCTCGACGAACTCATAAAGAGAATGAACGTGTTGTATGGTATATGCATGTCCCACGTCCCAACACATAGGTCGTCAAGTCCTCCGGGCGATCTATCCTTGCTCGCTCAGATGTCCTCACATAGCTCGTTCGGATGGCCTCGGATCCTCTCGCATAGCTCGGTCGGATGGCCTCGGATGCCCAGCGTGTTGGGACGTGCATGGCACATGCAATCTCTCGTAGCTCGCCGAGAAGACATTGCGACTTAGTAGGTCACCCGGAAGACATGACGACCTAGTAGGTCACCCGGAAAGCAGCGACGTATGACCAACACTGTGAATTTCACCTTATTTAAGCAATTAATCTTGAAAGTGTATTATCTCACAGATGAAATGCAATTGAGATATAAATTGTAAGAGAAGACTACTACTTAGATAAAGAGAGGCCGTGTTGGCGTCGGCTTAATTACGGTCTGTTTTTTCGTTTTCAAGGAGTTTTATGGATTTAATCCCTATACTATACTGAAATTTAAGATTCGATTCTTCTATTTTGATTTTAATATAATTTAAGTCTTTTATTTTTATGATGTTATTATATATATAAGATAATGATACTATTATCTTACGTACTCTAGAGAAATTGATAACATGATGTATGACTTTCAAAATATTTTAAAGTTTAGATAATTTTCCTTTTTTAAATATTAGATTAGATAAATATTTTTGAACCTATCATAAATGGTTAAATCATTTTAAAGTTTCTTGACTTTGGTTTAATATTTTTTTATTAAAAAAGTGTCATGGATATTATAAAAGTGATTGGTTTTTCTTAATAATTACTAGAATTTAATACAATTAGACTTAAGTGCTCGAATAAAAAACAAAAGTAAAATAAATAGAGTAATAGAAGGACCAAATTATGTTAAACTAGAATAGAAGATTGAATTTCACAATAACATAATAGATAGAGGGTCAAAAACATAATTAGACCTTTATACTTTTTCTACAGTATACGTTAATCGACGGTCTTCTTAAGATAATTTATTTTTAAAAAATATTTATAAAAATCATAAAAAATACAATTATTTATTCATCTGTCTACCGGAACTGTGGACAGTTGGGCATAAATTACTTTTCGTTCAATATTAAAATAGTTTCCATATTAATATTCCTATAATTTACAATAACAATTTAGTTAAAAATACTTTTCTTTTTTAAAATAGATTAGAAATGAAAATCACATTAAAAATACTAAATCCGTAGGAAAGCAAACAGCTCAAACTTTTTTTTAATCACTCATATACAAATGATTCATTAATCCATATCGAGTACCGAAAATATTCATTACAAGAGATACATCGCCCTATTAGACTAACTAATTGTTGATAATTTAATATTACTTTTAATAATCAATAGCCAACTTAATGAATACCAACTTAACCGAATTGAAAATTTTCGCAAAATCGTACCAGACATTGATGAATAAGACTCATACTCGAATTCGAAGTGACCAAGACTTTCAGTTGATGCATTTACATAAAACAAACAGACAGGTAGAGTATATATACATAACATAATAATAGGTTCAGTGTCGAAACATTGCATAAAGACGGAAGTCTCGAATGCCTGGACGAAGGTATACAAATTGCAGAACAATGGTTCGAAAGATTTCATCAGCGATGTGAAATCTTGTAATAAAGGATTAAGATGATTGCAAGGACGAGAGCTACGATTACCGAGATAGCGATCCATTTGTTCTTGGTAATCCTTCGCGACATGGTTGTTAAGACTTTCTTGCTCTTGTCGATGGCGCTATCCACGTCATAAAGCTGCAAAACAACAAGAAACAAAACCAGTAAGCTGTTACGCATCGACATTACATATATATGTATATATGGTCAATAAAATAATCCGAATTAGATAGATTTCAACTCGTGTGTGCAGTTGGAGGTTTTTGTTGAAGTTTTTGGGTTCGGGTTAGGCAGTTCTAGATAGAAAGTACCTGCTCCGAGATATTTACTGAATACGTAATCAATTTTTTAAAAAGGAGCATAAGTTTTGAAGCAAGATGGTTCAGGGCATGGACGATTCCTTCATTCCAGGGCCGGGTTTGGACGTTAGAGCTCAAAGTTCAAGTTCAAAATAGTATCGAGTGAAATATTCGAATGTTAGAAAACGATACAATAAAGAAATCAAGAATTCAGTGATGAACAATATGTTAACCAAGTTATGTTGGAGGACCTTGTTATGGGCATGCAGGAGAGTCTGTCGCTGTTGATGCAAATCTTCAAGGATAGAGATACCAAGCTCTTCTGTTTCCAGAACAGTTCTTCTACTCTCCTTAATTCTGTCACTCGACTGATTTAGTCTCTCCACCGACATCGACAACCGATCCCTTTGCTCGGCAGAAACCTGTACCCAATGGTCACAATTCAATACGAAAATCTTCACCAAGTTGCTTAATGGTTAATAACAAGTATGCATGCCGTTAAGACCCCGGCTTAATCGTAAGGAGGTTCCAGACTTTCAGTTACCAAGTCAAGCCCCGCACATCGGAGTTATCTTGTTGTTTGGTTTATTCAATGTTATATATATATATATAAACATAAAAAATGTTTAGCATTTCATCAAAGGTGATGGCGAAACTTTGACAAACAACAGACAACCAAAAGTAAGAACAGACCATGTTGCTCTAATTCTTTGTTCTTCTTAAAACCCAGTGTTTGACACTCGTGTCCAATATAAGATCCTCTAAATACATGGAATAACTTGAGGGAAAATTTGAACATATCCATGTTGAAACACACGTTTTGGATACGAGCTAAGTAACAAATACAACAGACACGGATAAAGTGAAAACATTTGAAATGATAAGCATGAACAAGTCTCATAGTTCCTAACTAGGAATCAAACAAATCCATATACCAAATTCCACTTTCACTCAACTTACAAGAACAGCAGCCATTCAAAATCATAGTGGAATATGAAAGGACCTTTTATAATTACACCAAGGCTCACCCTTTTCCCCCCAAGATCGACTCCCCGAAGAATCATCAAACTACAGTACCTCGACTCTTCGTTTTCGGATATGATATGAGAACGGGAAAATAACCCATGCCTAGCACATACTCATATCACACACTCACCCGAATTCGATTGTCAGTAATCATTCCTCAAACACTCTTAATCAAGTGAGCTAACGAAACACAAAAAAGGAAAAAAAAGTGATAAAAGATCCAGAATTACAGAGTGCACATCAGCCATTCCCGATTCCATCAACTCATCATGAGCAGCCTGATTAGCATTGGGTGAAGAAATTCTCTTGAATTCCTTCTTCAATTTATTCAGATCAGCCTTATATTCCCTTAATTTTGCAAGTAGAATTGCCTTAACCCCTGGTTGCAAACTCCTGGCTTCCAGGTCCATTTTCCGAATCTACCAATAAAAAATCAAAACCCAAATCAATATAAAAATAACAACCCAGAAAAATTAAATAATTAGACAACATAGTACCAGGACATCAGCTTCATCAATCCCAGAACTTATCTCGGAAAACTTCTGTTTCTTCTGTTCTGCAAAAGGTTATCACACGATAAAGAAACATATTAAAAAAATCGCCCTTTTGTGGGTGGAGGGAGTTTAAATGGATCGATCCATAGAAGGAAAATACCTAAATCTTGAATAACAGAAGCAGAGCTGCATTTCCGGGAGAGATTGGCGGAGAGCTCGCAGTACTGTCGTTCATAACCTTCGAAAACCTCACTCATCTTCGACAAAAATTTCACCCAAATATTAGATCATGGAAGAGAAAAGATAATCGAAAGATTTAGATCAGATTGAAGAAGATTGTTGTTGGAAGTTGGGTATTTTGTAGGCAAAATAATCTAATTTTTAACTATTCAACTGGTCGTAGACGGAGAAGAGTAAAGGAGTGAATTGAATCGACCATTTTTTCGGGTGAGGAACGTAAAACTGGACAAAGATGTAGCAAAGCTAGATCATTGGCCGTCTTTTCACTTTCGTGTTCGCAACGGTGCGTTTTACGCCTTGCTAATTCAACTAGAATTAATTTAACTTTTGTAGGTAACTTTTGCATTGATGTGCAATTTGGTGCCCAACTATTTTTTATGCAATTAGATATCTAATTTTTTTAAAATTATATATTTTCATATTTAAAATTTTAACTTCTAACTTTTAGATTTGTAACATCTATTAAACATTTAATTAAAATTATAAGTATAAATCAACCAGAATTGAATATGTATCATTAAAAATCATAAGTTCTTGATTACACCATTAAAAATTATTAGATGTCTAATTTTAAAAAAAGGAAAAGTTGAATACTAAATTGCACAAATACCAAAAGTTATATTAACCCATTCAACTTCAATAATTGTATTCGCTGACGAATGTTAGGTGTATTGTAGAGCATACTGCACTTATTTTAAAAAAGAACGAAGCTTAAATTTAGAAAATATTATTATTAAAACAATAATAAACATAAATATAAAGAGTAAAATAATGATGAAAAATACTCAAAAAATTGCATGAAGCTTTCTAGATCAAATTTTTCATCAATTTCATTATTATACTTAAATTATAAATTTAATCTTTATATTTACGTACTTTTAAAATTTAAAATTCCAATTCTATACTTTAAGATAATAGGACCAAATTAAAAAACTAAAAGTGATCAAATTAGAAAAGATGGTTAGATCTATAATTTATGCTTATTACAATGACTAATAAAAAAATTCATAATTTATAACTTAACAAATTTTGCATCAAATAATTAATCTACCGCAATGCCACTAAAAAAGCTGAAACATTGAAGCATGTGAATACCTAGTGTCACCGAACACTTGTTTTCTGTTAGAACCGAGGCGAAAGCTATATATTAGCGTCGGTAAGTCTCGAATCTTATGCCATTATCTTAGCAGACCTCACATAGAGACTATGTTGGAGATGGTTTCCAGTGTTGCCGGGTATATGGCATCGGTCTTTGGATCATCAAAGATGACGAGACATCCAGCACCCTGATTCAGGGTCCCTGCAAACTTCTTATCGAGGATCATCTGAGAGTTTCTTCTCTACATGATCTATTGGCAACTCAATCAGTTCAGCAATATGAGCAATCTTAACCCTCGAGTAAGGCTCAATCAATCTGCAGAGGTTCTGCTCCAATAGTGTCGTATAGCGAAGAAAGGTGTCTGTGAACAATGGGGTCTTCCTCTAGTTGGGCCTTGAAATCACGAAGGGCAATCTCGAAAAGCTTCAGGGAACGTTTTGCATGGGCATCGGCTACAGTTTTCATGGCATCAAGTTCAGGCCCCACATACTGTAGCCCTGTCTTAGATGATATTATACCAGCAACGTCATCAGCCTGGCTCACCATTATCTTGCACAACAACATATATTTCAGGCTAAATACGGCACGCGGATCTTCGAGAGCATTAAAAGCTTCAAATGCTTCAAAGAAATAGCTGTAAGCAGTTTTGTAATCCTTTTCCTCGGCATGGAGGATTCCACTTTGTTCAGATCTATATTATCCTGTTGAGCGGGTGGTAGGTAAATTGCATTAGCTGCAGTCCTTGCAGCCGTTAGAGATGCCTTGGCTTTGGACAGGTTTCGAAGAGAGAAATGAAGCTTACTCTCCAACAAGTCTATGTCCACAAGAAGCAGCTTGTCATCCAACCTTCTGACCTTGATTAGGCCGGAAAGGAGATTCAGTGCTTCTGGGTACTCCTTGTTCTCCATCAAAAGTGCTGCAGGCTTCGCTTCAACTCGTTGGTGTAGGAAAGTTCACATCTCAGCACGAGTCCACTGCACCACTTCTTTGCAAAGAGATATTTGGAGATCCGATGTTCCTGGTATTTTAGCCACGTCATCAATTATACCACGGACAATTTTAGCAGTTTTTGCCTTTGGAATCAGTGCAAAAAAGGGCCTCAATTGGGTAAGAAGGCTTCTGAGCTCTTCCGCTCGGTTCTCTTCTCGTTAATCCGTCCAGCATCTGGAGCAGATGAAGGATTTTCTAGTACACGGTAGAGGATTGAGATAGCTTCAGACGGTGTTTTTGCTTCTAAGGCCTGAGCAATTGAATCAGTGGTTGCCGGGAGATATGATGAAGACATTGTAAATGCTTAAAAATCCAAAACCTGCAAAATCGGCAATCAATTTGAAATGGAAGAACTTTCATAAATAATTAAATTCCGGTACAAAACGGAATACAAAGGTTAAAACCCAAGAAGTTTATAGCTACTTCGACAACATGAATTGCAGCAATCCTAGTTAGTAAATCTTATATTGGACAAACTCAACAAACAGTCAACAGAATTTAAAAGCAACTGATTAAATTGCCATCACGCAATTCAAAGAATAGCATATCCAAAACAACTCGATTTTTTTCACAAAACCAGAACTATTCTTATAAGCCAAATTCAACCTTAACAGGCCATACAACGCTTCATCCAAATTTTTGAAATACTAATGTTCAATTGTTCAATCCCCTTTAAAACATGTTCTACCACAAATCATTGTATCACCCTATGTGCCTTGTCAGAGATCTACTAGAAAATAGTGTGGTAATAGCAACTCTTCGGAGAAGAACACACTATGCGATCTACGTATCCGCAACTACAAAGCTTGTTATTGCTATATGGTTGAACATATTGCGAAAGAAAAACAAAAAAATGGCATTAGGTTTCTTTTTCCTAATCTCCAGTTACCCATTCAAGTTCCATTTCAGTAAGCCTCAAATAACTAATATAATGTCAAGGCAATTTCTCACAGAAGAAACAGCCATGTGAGATCAAAACCAAGTGATAATAAGCATACCCAATATAATATTTAAACCTTTATCATTTCCAATCTTGTGAAGCAAAATGTCAAAATTACTTTGAGAAATGTTGATATCTAACCATGTCTGAAATTTCAATTATTACAAATGTGGTGGAGACAGCAGGAGGACGCCGGCACCGCCACGGACGCACAACGCATTAATATCAAACAAAAAGAGAACATGTAGAAGAACAATCATTACCAAGAACTAAATCACAGCGAAAATTGCGTGGTCAAAGAAAATTTGCAGACATATCCGACGGGGGAAAAAGAAACAAATCAAAGATTACCGTCGAAAAATTCAAATCCCTAAAGTAAACTGTCAAAATCATACCTCTGCAAAGAGAAGAAGATTTGATGAATCGATCTTTTCCCGAGTTACACGCTTCCTGTTTAACTCAGAATCCGCCCTTTAGATTTAACTAGTTCTTCTTTGGGTCCAAACCGACGCGATTCAAAAGAGTTTTATGCAGCTATAAACTTCAGATACCGTCGATTAAACTTCGTTTTGTAGAACTTCGGGCTTTTAAATGATTTGGGCCATTCCCTAGGCCTTAAAAGCTTTGTTAGTTTTATGGATAAAGTACATAAATAGTCACTAAACTATGTTGCAATAATCTTTTTCATCATTAAAGCTTCATTAATTATAAAATAATTATTAAATTTTTTGAATTATTACAAAATTTTCATTAAAATTTATTAAAAAGTAGTCCTTAAATTTATTGAAATTTATCATTATTTTATAAAATGCAGTCTCAGTTTATAATAATTCAATGAATTTAATGATCAATTTATAACTTTTAAATCTTTTATCTTAATATAATTTAATGACTATTTGTATAACTTTCATGAACCTATGTATCTATACTATAATAAAGTCTACTAATACTTTAAACTATCCAGTATTTATTTCTTTTTAGAAAATAAGATATATTCCACCATTTGTTGGTGTTTTAATTTTAAACAAGAGTTCTCAGTGCAAAAATAATGTTATTCTTATTAGAAAATTTAGATTTGAGTAATTGTATATGTAGGATAGTGTATATGCGTTGTTAATAAATTAAGAAATTTTTTGAACGAATACTATATTATAATCACTATAGACTATTACAAAAAATTTGAACGAATACTTGATTTTAATGGATTTTTATATGGTCTTATAAGGTCAATTTTTTTATTTAAAAAAAAGAAGTTGAATTTGGGTTTAATGTGAAAAAAAAGTTATATCTAATTTCATATGAGAGAATATTATGTTTTTCTTCTATATATTTCAGGTTAATTGTTATAATATCTCTCTATAATTTGTTTCACTTATATCTCTATTTTGATGAATAAATGGTTGTCCCTTGTTCCCATATGTAATGGGATAAGGGGGAGGTAAGATAGTAGGTTGCCCCCAACACCAGGTTGAGAACAGCTTCCGTAGAAGACCTCCGAATTATGAAATGCCCTCCGTGGGACTCGATCCCACGACCTCAAAGTTAAGAACCTTGTGCTCTACCAACTAAGTTAGATAGTCATCTCTCTATTTTAATGAATAAAATATTATATATTTTTGTGTCGGATCAAATCAAATGTATATTTTTACTTTTAAATTTTAGTTAAATTTTAATTAATATAAAATTCGAGTGAAATATATATGTTTTTTGGGTTGGGTTGACAAAAAAAAACCTGAAACCCTAAATATATTGATAAGTTTCTATTGTTTATACAAAACAGTAATCTTAAACCTATAAACTTAACTCAAAATTATAAAAGGAAAGACAAATTAAAAACGGTTGACATTATTTCTTTTTACAAGAAAGCTGTGATTTTGAATACAAGCAAGTCTATATTAATTTTGGATTTCGAAATGAAGCCGGAGAAATTAAGGTGAATCAGCTGACTCGAAGCACAGGAACACTGCGTCGTGCAGATATCAGTTCTTTCATATGAGCAATTTGAAACAGCAGCTGGTTGATCTTCTGCATCATCAAATTTGAGAATATATATATATATATAATACTCAAGTAATTTTTTTTTATAAAAGATGAAATTAAAAGCATTATAAATGGACCTGTTCTTTCTCTTGAACCAAAACAATCAACCGATCCTTGCTTTCTTCCTTGACTCTCGCACGCCATTTCCTCATCTTAGCATACACAAACGACACCAACAAAGCACCGCCGATTGCCCCAAAAGGCCAAATCCCGAATCCGAAACAACATCGAACTCTAGCAGCAACATTCAGGATCCCATTACTCAGCATCCGACTGATCTCGTCTGCTTTCTTCGAAGGCCCTGAACAATCATTCGCTTCCACCCCATTGTTAGAGGCCACCGAAGAATTCGCCTCCGCTTCATCGGTCGACGACATTTCGAGTGCTTCGTGAACCGTGTCCGGTCCAGGTGATGGGGTTGAGCTCGGAAGCGTTGGGTCTGGGATTTGTTCCCAGTCGTTGAAGTCAGCGTCCATGGTTTATCTGTAAGGAATTGTGCGGGGAATTGGGTTATAATGGCTTAAAAATATATGGGTTTGGATAGTGAAGAAAATATCTTTGGAGGGTTGATTTTGGTTTCTACTTTTAGCTGGGTCTTCCGTTTGGAGATTGTTCTGGGAATGTATTCGGGGTTTTTTTTAATATTTAAGTAGGATAAATTACTCTAAATCTGATTTAAAAATTTATGAGCGTCGCATTAGATTATTAGACTGATTTATTTTTAAAAAAAAGTAATTTTTTAAATATAATTACAAATGAAAAATAATATCATTCGAACTCGAATCAAAAATTTTAAAACCAATATCCATATTATTATGAAGTCTTATGCTTAATTAAAGATTTGCTTAACTTAATTTGATTGGTTATTTTTAGTCTTGATCTAAAGAAGCATATTAAATTAAGTTTTATTAATAGTTCTTACATTATACATTAGTTGTAATTTTTATCCATGTTTTTAATTCGATCATTTTAAACTATATAATTTAATAATCAGTGCTTATATATTTAACGTGTTAAATAGGGATGAGCATGGGACCCAGATTCTACGGGTTGCAACTCGATCCTACCCAATCAGGTCAGTTTTATTAAAAAAAATTGGGATCGGGTCGGGTTCAGCTTTGGGATGAAAAATGTTCGACCCGGCCCTACTAAAACAATATAATTTTACCTTATATATTTAAGAATAATTACAATAATATTTCTCTATATATTAATTTTTTTCAATTAAATCACTACTTTTATTGAATAAAAATGATATTTTTATCTCAAAAATTCAGTTCGGATTCAAATCAGATTAATGATATATATTTTCGAGTCGGATGAAAGATATAAAATTTTTAGGTCAATCGAGTTAGCCGAAACCCGGCCCAAAACCTACTCATGGCCATCCATAGTGTTAAATCACGGGCGGTAATTCCGAAGAAAAATAAAAACAACACAAAAACCGTAACCCACCAATATTACTATATCTCCATGCATTCACGAATCTCTTTTGGGAATTTGCCCTCCTTTCCGTTTATGATACATTCTCCAGTCTTGTCTCTTCTATTGTTTTTCTTCGTATTTTAAATTTATAGTTTATTCAAAGAATAAAATACCATATGATTAACAGTTTTTTATTTTTAAAACCATTTTAAATACTAGCGTAATTATGTAATACATCAAACGAATTTTGATATATTCATATTAATTTTTGAATAAAAAGTTGTTAATTTTCGAATAAAAAGTTGTTAAATTTCAAGATAAAATACTAACAATTTTTTTTTTCTTTTTATTAAAAATATACGATGAGATAAAAGAAGGGAAAAATAAACAAAAAAAAATGTTGACGTTAAGATCAAAACGAAATCAGTGATTATGTTAGCAGGCCACAGATCTAAGTGCATGCATATTTAAGATATCAAAGATACTGAATATTGGAATATACCATAAACTTATAGAGATCTAGGCTCAGTTGGTATAGCGCAAGGCTCTTAATCTTGTGATCGTAGGATCGAGTCTCACTGAGGACAATTTATAACGGAGGTCTTCCATGAAAGCTGCTCTCAACCTGGTGTTGGGGGCAACCTACTACCCTACGTCCCCCTTACCCCATTACATATGGGAATAGGGTCAACTAATTTTTTATAGAGAAGCTAGGATAGCAGACAATTCCTCAATTAGATATTTATATAAATTTTTTGGGTGAACTATATATTTAATCCCCCAACTATCACTTTGGTTCCATTTTGGTCACCTAAATATTTTTCAAATAATACTAACGTTACGTTTTTGTTTCATTTTGGTCACTTATCATTAAAAAAATAACGGTAATGTTGATGCGTCATTATACATAATGTCATGTCATCATTAAAAATAAAAATGCCATGTCATCTATTATGTTATTTTTTTTAATATCAGGTGACCAAAATGAAACCAAAATATAATGTTAGGGATCAATTTGAAAAAAGTTAGTTGAGTGATCAAAATGAGACTAAAGCGATAGTCAAGTGACTAAATATGCAGTTTACCCTTTTTAAAGTATTATTTCTATATATAATACTATGTAAAGATTGCTATTTTTGAAGTTATATAGAACTAGGGTTTGATCCTTGATCCATAGAGTTAAGGTTACATTTACAATGTCCATAGATTAGATATAGTAAATGATTGAATAATAATTATTGGAATTAATTATAAAATATATATAATAAAATTGTAATTAAGATAAAATTAAAAATTCATATATAATATTTATTTTAAATTGTAAAGATTATTTTTTAATTAATAATATCAATTAATTTTATCAAATAATAAAGAAATATTATAATATTATAATCTAAAAAAACGACAAAAATTAAATTAGACTAATCATATTAGTCACTCATATTTTATAAACTCGTAAAAGAAAAAAATAGTACAATGCATGATAAGAGTTAAAAGAATTTAACTAAAACTTCGAAAAATTAAAAGGTACAAACAAACATTATTATCGACGGTTAATGATAAATTCCATCAACACCAATATAAAAATAAATATAATAATGAGAACTGAATCTATCACAACTCAAGCGTGATATATCTATTGAAAAAGATGTAAGTATACTTGTGTATTCTAAAATTCAAATTTTTTTATGTTAATTATTTATTTTATTGATTATTTCAATCTTTAACTTTTGTTTGTGTATACCCACGTATAAAAATTTTGTGTTCTTAAACATTCTAAGAAATATTTTTATATATGTCATTGGACATCTTTAGAATGATTGTGAATATTTATTAGTACGAGAGAATTTTTATTTTATTTTTTAAAGTTTGATAAACCAAATAACGAACATATGAACAATATATATATATATATTATTAATCTGGAGTAAGTACAATGTGTATCTGTTTAAAGATAAATTTCAATCATTTGACATTGAACGCTTGTACCCCTGCATCGTTGGTACTCGAACCGAAACCTCAAGGAATAACAACAATTCATTTACAATGAAATCAATGATTTTATGTTATGAACAAGATATTTAAATAAACGATAACGGGATAAACCATAATTTTAACCTAAAGACTACTTTTAACTCATTGAGATATGGTAATATTGCATGGTTAAGATTTAGGAGCAAAGTGATAAAGGGATGGGAACAAATAATTAACAGTTTAAACATTATGAGACTAAGTATAAGTTAAAAGATTTCACTTCAATGAACTTTTGAAATTCCTTGTTATCTCCTCCTTGCATGAGAGTGAAAGGATTGCAGAAAATTCAGAAACAAATGAAAAGCCGAATTACGCATGCGAACAAAGAAATAGTTACAACAAGACCCTCACAGTATATTAATCAAACCCAATGAACACCTCTCTTTCTCTCCCCTATAAATATATATTCCATTACAGTGTCCATGAACTAGGAAGGAAAACAGAACGTGAAAATGGGGAAGAGAAAAGCGGAGATCAGTGATGTTGATGAAGAAGAGAAAACAAACTACGGTGTCGAAGAAATGACAGCGACCGATGCTAATGTTGTGGCGGTGGCCGCGGCATTGAGCAGGGTCCGCCGAGCGAGGAAACGATTCGTCGGAGTGAGGCAAAGGCCGTCGGGGAGATGGGTGGCGGAGATAAAAGACACGATACAGAAGATACGGGTCTGGTTGGGAACTTAAAACACTGCCGAAGAAACGGCGAGAGCTTACGACGAAGCCGCTTATCTGCTTCGTGGAGCCAACACTCGAACAAATTTCTGGCCTTTTTCGCCGTCATCGATCTCTAAACCAGCACTTCCTTCGAAAATCGTTAATCTTCTCTTGCTTAGGCTCAAAGAAAGAAACGATACTGCTTCTTCTCCAACTCCTATGGCTTCCGTAGTTTCCAATTCCAACGTCAATGAACACGGAAACGAAGGAGATACGGTTTGCTTCGACGGTTTCTTGAATGTTCCTGAAGATTGTAGTACTTCTTCTAGTGATTTCATGTTGGAGAATTTCGGGTCGAATTCGGCTGATTCTATATCGACTCATAACGTCGATGTCGGTCCGAATGAAGAGATCGATAAAGAGGGGATAATGGATTTCCTGTTTGTGGATTCTTTCGGATTATCGATATGTGATACCATTTCTCCGTTCGAGATTGCGGAAGAACTGGTGGAGCCGATGGTGGAGCAGCAGCAAGAAGACATCAATGGCGATGATACTACGTGCATGCTTAGCGAGACGATGAAGAGAATGCAATACGAACGTAAATTCTCGGCGTCGCTCTACGCCTTCAATGGCATACCCGAATAATGTTTTTAAAGATTTCGTGCCTTCGTTTACTCTTCCTCCTACTTGAAATATTTATGTTGGTATAATTGGAACCTGCATACTTATATCAAATTATGGTACATAAAAATCACTAGCACATTTCACGGGCAAAATTTTCGAGATAATGTTCTCGAATTTTTTATTTAACGATATAACGTACTCCGAAGATTAATTGCTCAAATAGGGCGAATTGCACAGTGTTGGCCGTAGGTCGCCATGCCTTCCGGGCGACCTACGGCGTGGCAGCTTCCCAGCATAGGTCGCCATGCACTCCGGGCGACCTTGTAGGTCGCCATGCACTCCTGGCGACCTTGTAGGTCGCCATGCACTCCTGGCGACCTTGTAGGTCGCCATGCACTCCTCCTCCTGCATGCATGGGGAGATCGTGCCATGCACTCAGTGCTCGGTTCATGCATGGGGCACTCGAGGCGACCAAGGATGACCAAGGATCGGTTCATGCATGGGGCACTCGGGGCGACCAAGGATCGGTTCATGCATGGGAAGAATGGGGAGATCGTGCATGTGTAGGTCGCCATGGAGTCCCGGCAAGGTCGTGAGCAGGCGAGCATGCAGCAGGGGATGTCGCCGCGAGTGCATGGCGACCTCCTTGGTCG